TAAGATTTATTTATTTATTTATTTGACAGATAGAGATCACAAGTAGGCAGAGAGGCAGGCAGAGAGAGAGAGAAGGAAGCAGGCTCCCTGCTGAGCAGAGAGCCCGACGTGGGGCTCGATTCCAGGACCCCGGGATCATGACCTGAGCCGAAGGCAGAGGCTTTAACCCACTGAGCCACCCAGGCGCCCAAGTATTCAGCTTTTTAAATGGGTTATAATTCCCCCCTGTGTTCTATTCTCTAAGTGTACCCAGAGAGGAGTGATCATGGTGCAGCATCTTAGAAACTATCATTTGAGAAGAACTTAAACTTGTTTAGAAGGAAATATGATAGCTTCATTTTGAAAGATTGCCTTATAGAAGGAGGATATGATTTTTTCATAGCTTCCACTAATGGTTAGAAATTATAGGAAAGCAGATTATTCTTTAATGTCATATAATTTCCTAAAACATGTCACTGTCAGTCAGCAGCATTACTTTTTTTTTTTTTTAAGATTTTTATTTATTTATTTGACAGAGAGAGATCACAAGTAGACGGAGAGGCAGGCAGAGAGAGAGAGCGAGGGAAGCAGGCTCCCCGCTGAGCAGAGAGCCCCACGCGGGACTCGATCCCAGGACCCTGAGATCATGACCTGAGTCGAAGGCAGAGGCTTAACCCACTGAGCCACCCAGGCGCCCCAGCATTACTTTTATTATAAGATTTTCTTTTGCACTGAAACTTGATAGAGTCCAGCTTTCCATCACCAAGTCCTTTTTGCTGCTTCAAATATCCTTCTTTTCTCCATTTTGTTTTGTTTTTTTTAATTTTCACCAGCCTTGGAGAGCTCATCTTTTCTTGAACTATAATTTCAATGTATTCTTAGCTTATGTCCTTACTACCAGTCCAGAGTTTAATTTCTTTAGGTTTCTCTTCTCTTCTCTACAGGATTATTTCATATTTCTAGCCTGGTATACAGGTTTCCTTCATGACCAAACCCCACTGTTCACAGTTCAGTGTACTAAGTTCCTACTATGTGTCAGGTCCTATGCTCAGTCCTGGAAATATGTTGGCAGATATGAAAGTCATGGTCCCTTCTCTCACAGAGCTTTCCATGTAGCTGGAGGGTAGGTTGTTAATAGTTATTTTTTTAAAAGTCTATTGTAAATACTCTTTGAATGTCTGAGATTGAGGGGGAAGTACATTCTTTCCACTACTTTCCTATCCCTTTACTTTTTCTACTTTGAATCATGAAATGCTAAGGCTTTCATGTATGAGTCCATGCTTTTATACATCTTATCTTCCCCTTTTTTCCTTGTTAATTAGCTTTTGGCCTTCCTTTAAGATGTCAGGTGTGGGGAGACTTAGTTATTTCTTCCCTTGCTCTCATATTAGCTCTTGTCATTTATCTCTAATAATAAAGTACTTACTTTCTATGTTCATTGTAGAGCTAGAGCTCCTGAAGTACAGAGATATCATCTCCTTTTCTTTGTATCTCTTTCCCTATAAGAGTGCCTGATTTGGGGCACCATTAAGCAGATGCTTAATGCCTGAGCCACCAGAGCCATCTGCGGCTCAGGTCATGATCCCAGGGTCCTGGAATCCCTCCTTGGTGGGAAGCCTGCATCTCCCTCTCCCACTCCCCCTGCTTGTGTTCTCTCTCTCTCTCTCTCTCTCTCTGTCAATTAATAATCTTTTAAAAAAAAGAAAGAAAGTAGTTATCTTAAAAAAAAAAAAGAAAGAAAGAAAAGAAAGATTGTCTAATTTGGGTGCCTGGTGGCTCAGTGGGTTAAGCCTCTGCCTTTGGCTCAGGTCATGATCTCAGGGTCTTAGATCAAGTCCCACGTCTGGGCTCTCTGCTCAGCAGGGAGCCTGCTCCCCCCATCCCCCTGCCTACCTCTGCCTACTTGTGATCTCTCTCTGTCAATAAATAAATGAAATCTTTAAAAAAATAAATGATAGTACCCATTGTGGGTTATTTAATTAATTTGTTAAATGATCACTTGCGTGCATCAAGGATGCATGCGGTGGTGGTCATGAAGCATTACCAGTTTTCTGCATGTTAAGTAAAATCGGAATGTTCCCTATCCTAGGATGGTTTCCGAGCACCTCCTTGAACAAGTAAATATGACTTAGATTTGGAGAATCACATCTTAATTTTTAAATGGTCACTGTGCAGTGATGTGATTTTAAGCACATAAATCTTTTGCAATTCTGTTTCTTTACAAGAAAATGAAGATTGAGAGTAGTATGAAGACTTAGTACATTAGTACATGAAAAATACTTAAAACAATACCTATTACCTAATGTCATCCTTCTGATTGCTGTTAATTTTTTCTAAAGACAGGGAACAAATTAAATGTCTCAAAGATGTTTTTCAGCCCAAAGAGTCCCTAAAAATATTACTTTAGCTTATAATATCCCCTATACTTATTCACCTCTCTCTTTAGAGGACTGTCTCTAAACTTTGAGTTGAATGTAATAAAATGTTAAGTAACACTAAGTGATTTTGTTTTTGCAGATGTTCTCAAATAGTGATGAAGCTGTAATCAATAAAAAACTTCCCAAAGAACTCCTATTGCGGTAAGTCTGAATGCTAATTTTAATTTGGTCTTGTGTGTGTGTCATATTTGCCTATTTAAAAATTTTTAGACTTACTGCTAATTTTCCTTTATGTAAAGGAACTGGATTATCTGAATTTGTAAATTTATTGATTCTTTTATTAAACAGTCTTGACTCTACATTTTCTAGATATGAATCAAAATTTTAAATGTTTAAATTCTCCTACCTGATTTGTACCTATATATGATTTTGTTTACTAGTTTTCCCTTGCTTTACTTTTGTATATAATGTATATGAGATCATATATTTTATTTTATTTTATTATAATGCTCTTTTTTTTAAAGATTTTATTTATTATTTGCAGAGAGAGATACAGCGAGAGAGGGAACACAAGTAGGGGGAATGGGAGAGAGAGAGAAGCAGGCTTCCCGCTGAGCAGGGAGCCCGATGCAGGGCTCGATTCCAGGACCCTGGGATCATGACCTGAGCCAAAGGCAGACGCTTAATGACTGAGCCACCCAGGCACCCCAGATTTTTTTTTTAAGTGATTCTAATCCATCCCTTTTCCTTGTTTCCTGTTCCCAACATCAAATATGTCCATGAAGTGACTTGTATTTGTGACAAAATATCATATAATACTGAGGAACTGTAGAGAAGAGTTACAGCCTTTTACTTTAAAGTTAAAAAGGTAGGGGCACATGACTGGCTCAGTTGGTGGAGCATGAGACACTTGATGTTATTCATAGAAGAAATTCATAGAAGATGTTAGGGTTGTAAGTCCAAGCCCCATGTTGGGTGTACTTAAAAGCATTTTTTTAAAAAGGGGGGTAATACGGTAAAAGTTATTTGAAGTTTTTTCTTGTATTACAGTTATAATTTTATCCTCCTTATTTTTAACATGTAGAAATTACATTTGGGATCACCCACAACATAAAACACACAGCTCCCAATTTATATACATCTAACCTAGGAATTGCCTAGGAAAAAAACTACGGATGTTATTTTCAGTGCCCATTATTTTTTTTTTTTTTAAAGATTTTATTCATTTATCTGGGAGCAAGAGAGAGCACAAGTTGGGGGAGAGGCAGAGGGAGAAGCAGACTTCCCACGGAACATGGAGCCCAGTGCGGGGCTCGATCCCAGGACCCTGAGATCCTGACCAGAGTCAGATGCTTAACTGAGCTACCGAGGTGCACTTATTTGGGCACTTAATCATGCTCTTCTTTGTTCACTGATGACTTAGAAAGAAAGGTACAGGAGTGCCTGGGTGGCTCGGTGGGTTAAGGCCTCTGTCTTAGGCTCTGGTTGGGCTCAGGTCGTGATCCCGGGGTCCTGGGATCCTGCTGCACATCAGGCTCTCTGCTCGGTGGGGAGCCTGCTTCCCTCTCTCTCTCTGCCTGCTTCTCTGCCTACTTGTGATCTCTGTCTATCAAATAAATAAATAAAATCTTAAAAAAAAAAAAAGAAAGAAAGGTACATTTTCTTTTGCAAATGTTAGAAGTTAACAAGTTGTACTGAAGGGCATCTGCCTCTTAATCTTAGCTGCTACTGCCCCAGCCCATAACTAGCCCAGTCCCTGCTCAAGGTGGAAAGTAATTTCGTGCTAGTGCTGGTGAAGAAGAGAATTCCTGGCATTTCTAGGGATTTACACATCTAAGGCCTTCACTATATTGCAAGTACCTTGGAAGCAGGGACTGTTTTCTTATAAATCTTCATGTAATACCTTATACATTGGAGATACTAAGAAAAAATAACAGAATTGAACTTGGAATGGATTTTTTTCATGGAAGCAATGCTTTTGTACATGCTGGTTTACTATAGTAGAAATAACAGCAATATACCCTAGGGTACCCAGGGCTATTGGAGAATGTATCCTGGATAAATTTTAGCCATCTTAAGGAGAAATATTTTTTTTTTTAAAGATTTTATTTATTTATTTGACAGACAGAGATCACAAGTAGGCAGAGAGGCAGGCAGAGAGAGAGGAGAAAGCAGGCTCCCCGCCGAGCAGGGAGCCCGATGCGGGGCTCGATCCCAGGACCCTGGGATCATGACCTGAGTTGAAGGCAGAGGCTTTAACCCACTGAGCCACCCAGGCGCCCCAGGAGAAATATTTTTAAACAGGTTATGTTCTTAATGTTATTATAAACTGAGTACACTAAGACATACTTCAATTTTTTTATAATGGCATTAATTTGGACCACAATAGTTTACCTAAAGACTCAGTAGGATTCAGGGAAATTATTTGATTCTTTGCTATTTAGCTGCCTGCTATTATGGTTTACATTTTTATATTTTACTAGAGTTTTATTCCATGGAAGACAGACATAAAGGCCACATACCATGTAATTCCACTTATATGAAATATCCAGGATAGACAGATCTATGGAGATAGAGGTTGCCAGGGGCTGTGTTGAGGGTTGATAGGGAGTGACTGCTAATGGGTATAGGGTTTCTTTGGGAGTGATGAAATATTCTGAAATTAGATAGTGACCATGGCTGCACAACATTGTGGTTATACTAAAAATCACTGAATAGTGTACTTTAAAAGGGTAAATTTCATGGAATGTAAATTCCCTCTAATATATATATTATTTTATATATTTTCAGTTTATAATAATTTATAATAAAATTTTCAATAATACACTTGTAATAAAATATGTAATTATATAATATGTTTTTATTTATTATATAATTTAAAATAAAAAATGCAGGGGCACCTGGGTGGCTCAGTTGGTTAAGCATTTGACTTCAGCTCAGGTGGCGATCACAGTGTCCTGAGATTGAATTCTGCATTGGGCTCCATTCTCAGCGGGGAGTCTTCTTTTCCCTCTGCCCCTCCCCCACTCACTCTCACTCTCTTTTAAATAAATAAACAAAGTCTTCAAAAAAAAATTCAGCCCCATGATAAACAAATACAGTCTGTAGCTTTATTTTATGTTGTTCATGTTCACTGATTCTTCAGCCATATCCCAATCTTGGTGATTTATTGTAGTAAAGGTTTTGTGGATATTGTCTTTGATGCTGGCATCTCTTCCTTTAGATGCAGTCAGTCCCAAAGACAGCATGAAGGGTAGACTAATAGGTGACTTCTTAAGTGGGCGATTTGTAGTCTTCTGTCTGTTAAGAGTGACCCCACTTTTTAGGCATTTCTTCATAGCCTTTAGCTTACCAGTGGTTACCTCTAATGCAGTGGTATTGAAGAAGCAGGTAATTCAGTCCATACTTGTTTATTTAACAAAAACGTTTTTTGCTGAAGAGAAGAACAGCAAATAGAAAATTGTTACAGTAATCTTTTTTTTTTTTTTTAAAGATTTTTATTTATTTATTTGACAGAGAGAGATCACAAGTAGACAGAGAGGCAGGCAGAGAGAGGGAGGGAAGCAGGCTCCCTGCCGAGCAGAGAGCCCGATGCGGGACTCGATCCCAGGAACCCGAGATCATGACCTGAGCCGAAGGCAGCAGCCTAACCCACTGAGCCACCCAGGCGCCCCTTGTTACAGTAATCTTAATTGGCGAAGCTGATGGCCTGAACCCCACTGTAGTGATGGGCTCTGTCAAGAGATTTTTAAGAGCTGGGATTAACAGTATATTGCTGATTGATTTGATGTGTTGCAAATGAGGGTATTGGGAAGGAGGCAAGGATGGTGCCCTAGGTTTTTGCTTTCTGCCAAGTGGATGGTGGGAATACTCACTAAGATAAAGAAAATAGGAGGAAGAACAGGGTTAATTGACAGAAAATGAAAATTAGTTCAGTTCGGGTACCTGTGGATATCCAGGTGGTGATGCCAAAAGGCCGATGTATATACAGTTCTCAAGCTTAGCAGCATGATTTAAAATTCATAGAAGAGTAAGAAATTGTGTATATTTAGCTCTTTTTGGATTTACTGGTGCCCACGGAAATAAAGAAAACAGGAAAAAATACGAAGCCTCTCTGACACTGAAATGAAAAGCTTTGGGGCCAAAACATCATATAGCCTAGAGGGTATCCTATAGATGGCAACCTTTGGGTCAGGTTTCCAGCCAGTCTGTCACGACACCAGGTGTCATCACCTGACAATCGATGTGGTAAGAACTGTGTAGAAAAGAGCTGTGTGTGCAGATGTTGAGGTTTGGCCGTATGTCCACATAATTGTACTCTTATACATTCTTTCTCTTGGCTTAAATGTTCTATATTAAGGTAGTTGAACTCTTTTCACTTAGCAATGTTTCAGGCATCTCTTAATCTAATATATACGTAAATCAGTATGTCAGCTATAAACTCTGGAACCCATTTTATTTTTATTTATTAATTTAATTTGTCTCCAGATTACTTGAGATGGATCAGGAGCAAATATAAGAAATAAAAATAAACTATGAGGACCATGACATATATTTTTTTAAAGTAGAAAACCAAAGCCAGAAAGGAAACACATGTAGCCTTGTAAGAGTTTACACAATTACTATAGGTCATTCTCACATTTAGCTTTGAATTTTTTGGTAGCGTAAATGAAATTTTATTCTTAACAGAAAAGAAGAAATATATATATTATACCATAAAATCAGAGCTCTTTCTAGCACTACTTTCTAAGAGGTATTTCTCAAATGAGACTCTGCTTATATTTTGTGGATAAAGTTACATAGAAAATCCAGTCACAGGGGCACCTGGGTGGCTCAGTTGGTTAAGCCTCTGCCTTCAGCTCAGGTCATGATCTCAGAGTCCTGGGATCGAGCCCCACATCGGGCTCCCTGCTCATTGGGGAGCCTGCTTCTCCCTCTCCCTCTGCCTGCCACTCCCCCTGCTTGTGCTTGCTCTTTCTCTGTGTGTCAAATAAGTAAATAAAATCTTAAAAAAAAAAAAAAAAGAAAATCCAGTCACAGATTTCATATAGTCATGGCTTCTAGCACCTTTGTAATAGTTAAAAAACAAAATAATAACGTATAAAAATGAATGCATGCTTCTGACAGTCCAGTTGATCCAAGGCTGCTTTTGGCTGCAAGTAATGGAAACTCTGAAATGGGCGTAAACAGTAAGGGAAGTT